TACTTTATATATATTTTAAAGTAATATCTGTCGCTTATTTGTAGCGAACTATATCTTATTATTATGAACCAGTGTGTGTATTCCTAAGCTTTTTTTTTTTTTTAATTACTTACTATTATTGTACGCTACCTCTAATAATCAATATTTATAGTACTTATTCTTATTACTTATTGTTTTCAGGAATCCTGTTGCATACTCTAAAAATATTTGTCTGTCATATTTACCTATCATTAATTTTAGGAAATTTACTAATTTTATTTTTATATCTAGTAAATTAGTTTCATTATTTAATAATATAATCATTATATTAATACATAAAGCAAAAACTTTGTATGCCTTTTTAAGAAAATTGCGCCGATGCGATGGAGGAGTGTAAAATTTCGCACACTTGTACTTTATATAGAGAAGAAGTGCAGGATGCTAATATATTTTTAATTATGCTTTATAAATACATTTAAACAATCAAAAACATTACACATACTACCATTATATTACAAGACTAATAACAAAACGTCAATATTGTTATCAAATCAGCGAATCAAGGTTTGTTTCTGTACTGTTATCAATGTAATATATATATAATATTTAAAGCAAGTCTTTGACAAATACAACCTAGATATAATTCAAACTCATCATTTAAATTATTTATGGTCAAATTCTGACCACTGCGCGATCTCTAGTAATAATTAATAATATATTAGGACAATTCACACAGTGTCATCTTGTCTCCAACTAAGCGAAGCTTGTGTTATGGGTACCAGGCAACTAATATAAATACATGGTTATGTTTTTTGTATATACATACATATTATATATAGAAAAAAACTGTTAGCTATTTTTTATTATCTATTATTTTATTGTTCTTCTTTTATTTCTTTTTTTTAAACAATCTTTTTCCATAATTATATTTACCAACATAATAATAATGCAGTCCCCTCGCTTACCATACATTTATTCATTAACCCACTAGCAAATTCAATTGTCTATAAAATTTGCCTCACCACTGTCTATTTATAACGCTATACTTCAACCGTAATTTCGCCTAGCAATTTCGATAATCGCTCGCTTGCCCCAAATCCGATATGCCCAGGGGTATTTATTTATTAAAGGCTATTTACTGTCCATTGTAAGTCATTGGTATCGAGAGATCGATAAATAAATAAATATCTCAAATCAAAGGTATAATCCCAGATGGTAAAGAGTCATTGCCTACCTTTATACCATAATATTAGGATTGATTTCCTTTGTTCGAGTTTCTACAGTATATGTTCTATGTAACTGGAATGGTAATCAGGCTTGCGGCTCACTTGATTGAAAGTGGTAACCTATATACAACCGTCGCCTATATATAATACACGAACATCACCATGGACATCACGTTATCATGTGACGCCTGTGATACCACCCATGCATTGCCATACCGAAAGACTAAGATGTTATACCTCCATATCCAGTTATTTTACTGCATTTTCTCGCCTCTCCAGCAAAACATCGGAATATTTACCTACGCATGAACGCAGAGGGGTTTCAGATGAGCTTCCTCCCGCGTACAGTTAGATTGTGAAATGAACTACCTGCCGAGGCTTTCTCGAAAGACTACAAAAGTGGATTTCAAGAAACCCTTCTTAATATTAATTAAGATTTCTTAAGAGTCGGCAACGCGCATTAACACCTCTGGTGTTTCAGATGTCCATAGGATAAGGTAACCGTTTACCATCAGATGGGCCGTATGCTTGTTTGCCAAAGTTGTAGTATAAAAAAATAACGAAACTCTTTACGAAAAGGTTTATTTCTCAAAATAGTGACCTTAATATCATTGAATGTTAGATGCAAACTATACACTTGCAGTCCCCAACTTTCGTTTAGATGAAGTTAATAGATTAAACTCTCTAAAGAGTACTTGCGGATTTCTACCAAACTTCGTTAGGCAGGCAGTTTCGAGAAACACGAGCGGTGAAGGTGAGTGTTGACGTATGTGGGCATACTGGCTCCTTAAATCTACACCCGAGTCTCAAGTCTCGAGAACTGCTCAGAGTTTCCCTCAGAGAGGGAGTGTCAGAACACTAGATATCTAGTGTCAGAGAGGGGAATTCCGAGCAGTTCGGGATTATTCCGACTTCCGCACTGTGAATCTATGGAATGTAAAGAAGTTCGTCTCTCTCTATGGGAATGGACATTAAATTTTACAACATGATACCAAAGTATGTTGAATTTACTGTTTATTGAATTCACAAAATGTATTAAGAGATACTTTTGAATAAAGCCTATTACTTTGGAAACGTGTTATGCTATTTAAATCGTATAACAATTATTATGAGTACTGACAATGGAAGTCGCATCAAAAAACTACTATAAAAACTACTACTTATAGTTGTAGTTTTTGACTAACTAAATTTCTTTAATTTTTAACCGCATTCCTCCGAGAAAGTATTAGAGGCCCCCGAGGGGCTACGATTCACATTTTTCAATCCACTGATCTAATTCTATCTTTGACCGATGATCCACAGACCACATAATAAAATAAACAATCCGATTCACCTAATCGGGTGGCTGATAAAAGGGATGGTGCGTCAAAAAGTATTTCGTCAGCGCAAACAAAATGTTGTCAGCGCCGCATTCAGTACTGAATTATTCAGGTGGGGATAATTTATGAACGCCCGGAAAAAGCTCGAGTGGTTATTCTCATGTCGATAGATATTTTCACGAGATTAGTTGACTCTTCCACTTCGTACGAAAATGTTCATTTGTAAGTATAGAGAAATGAAATTGTTATTCTATATTCTTATTAAACATTTAATTGATAGATTTAATTTTGACGGCCTCGGTGGTGTAGCGGTTTAGTACATCGCTTTATTTCCGATGATCGCGGGTTTGATTCCTCGCAAGGTATAATCAATTGTAATCATAAGTATAATTGTTTGTATCGGTCTGTATGTTTTCTATGTGCATACACAATGTATGTATTTACAAATGTAAAAAATACAAACTATGTATTTATATCAGTTGTTATTTATTTATTTGTTATTATTTAACATACTATTTTTAATTAAACATTTAGTTTCTTTTACATCATATTTATTAAGATATTATAATTTATGGCCAGTGTTTTTATTTACAAATTAACCGAATAATTTAAAAATTAGCACTAACACTAAGCAACTATGAACAGTAACTTAATCAGATAACTTGTCGGTTATCTTAACTGAAGTAGCTAGTGGAACTGGACGGTAGCAAGTGATAAAAAATTGAAATCCGAAAGTGTTCTATATGAATAAATGAGTTTTGAATTCTATTGAGTTTTCAACTATAAATAAATTTTATCATTCACCGGTTTGATAGGAAGTAAAGCAACTAGATGCAGCAGTATAATAATTTCCTTCCTCTTAACATACATCGTTTGAATCCAGCAATTTTACAGCTATATAAAGTTGCTCCACCATAAAAGTGAAACAGATTTAGCACTGACAAGACATAAAACGTAACGTCACGACTGTTCTCCTGGGTCAGAGGTTTTGTGAACATTATGGTAAAACCCGCTGGGTATATTTGATTCCAAAATATAGGGGCAAGTCTACCTTCTTTAACTCAAATCTTACTCAGCAAGCTGCTTGGTAACAGAAATACATTGGAATACATAGGTGACCCACGCAGGCTCCGATCGTTCCCCCGTCCAATTCCAGGGATCGAAACTACGAAACTACGAAGTCCTGAATCCCTAGCGGTGTCCTCAGACTAAAGTCGTATCAGTCAGGCGGGAGTTGGCCTTCAGCCGCTCTATAAGTCCTTCCGCAGGTTTGGAGTGCACTCGCACTGCATTTGCACTCGCTCCCTATCGTCCGGTAAAGTTGTAAAGGCCAGCTGCGTAAAAACTTAGGTCGAGTGTTCATAGTAAATGAATTTTGGTTAGAACTATCATCAGATATATAAACCTTATTTTTATCGACGAGAGGTATAAAAAATCGATCAACATTTTAGCGAACGCTTCCTGAATAGGCCCCATCGTTGGGAGCAGGCACAATTTCGTGAGCCGGGCTATCCCTAAATTCTTCAGCGTACCAATCGCGAAACGTAATGACGCCAACATTTATTTTGTTGTATCATACAATAAAATATTTACAACCCTAATGCCTAGGGTATGTACCATGTTAGTTTAACCTTTACACGGTCACCTCTGGAAATAATCGTGATTAATATACTATAGCTCTACTATACTATACTCATCATCATATCATCTCTACAGATGTCCCACCAGTTCTGGCGGGTGGGTCATTCCATTATCACCCAATAAAAAAAATTAACTAAAAGTCTAATGCCTACTACAGGTGGTAGAGTCTCGAGTAACTCATTCGTGTTTCCTGGCTATATTTCTGCCACATCTAAACATTTAAATAAGTAGTAACACACGAATAAAAAAATATCACGTAAAAAAACTGCATCGTATTGGATCAATTCATGTAGGAACATCGGTTATTTGAAAAAATTAAATAATCTGAGGTAACACATATAAACAAAAAATCACACCACAGTCAAAGGAAGCACCCTCCATTTTTTAGAGTCGGTTGAAAACGACTGTCCCTTCCATAAATATTTGTGGCCAGTAATGAGTTCTGTCTCTTGAAGTATTTCTACAAATTTGCTTTCAGCGCCACCTATCCATTGTTTACAAAAATACGAAATACTTGGAATGCCATGGAATTCTGTTGAGCACTAGAGGAGTAGTTCAAGAGGTAAAAAATAGATGGCGCTATATCGAATATAGGACTATAAATAAATATTTCATCACTATATTTGTACCAAAATATGACAGCTTGCATTATTCTTCATAAATTCAAATTGAATCAATTAGAATCCGCATTTACAGATCGTTAAAAATAATCAATCCTTATTAAGTTAAACGTATTTAATAATCGTATTGTACAGTATCTATTTATTTCAAAAAAAAACAGTAATATAAGTGTTGTTAAATTAATTTTAGTAATCATAAACAAAAATAAACTTACCTGAAATAACAGCATTAGCGTCATTTTGTGCATTATTTTGTTTATTTTGCGTTGTGTCCTTACTTTGTTCATTTTCGTCTTTGGTCGTTTTCGCTTCGGAACTTGTGTTGCAGCCCATTTTATTGCACTCACGTGTACACTAATACTACACTAATGTAAACAGCACAGTGGCACTACACTGTAATGGGTTTTGGTAATAAAAGTATACACTATAACATCGTAGTTGTCATCGATTGAGTTTATTATCTGAAACAAAGGAAAACTAATTATAAAGCTTTGAAATTTGTTTTCAAATCAAATAAAAAATCATTGATTCGTCCAGTTCAGTATATATATTTAATTGAGAAGAACTGGCAAGTAACTCAACTATTTTTTAAAGCCTTTTTTACATACATTATACACTTATGTAGGTATCAATGTCTAACATTAAGTGAATCTCGTGCATAAACTATTATTGCCATGCACGTTTGTCATTCAAGTAATCGTTTAGAGTGTAATAAATAGGCTTTGCTCAATAAATATGATGTAATGAATGCATTACTTTATTATTATAATAATTTTATTTTATAAACTATTTATTACATTATCAGTATGCAAATGCCTTACAACGCAGACATATCCGGTAGTAACTCAAAAATAGAGCTTTTCAATCCCAGAGACATTACCGATGTTGCCAGGTTTTTAAACTTTTTAAATAGAGTTGTGACACTATCGTAAATTAATATTAATTACGCAGTTTTATTAAGTAATAATATGTGGGTGTTTATTTAAAACGCATTATCACAAAATTAATAAAGTATAGGTATTAATAAATATAAGGTTGTTATATTATAAGGTTATTATATTATAATCAGTTGGTATAACAAAATTACAGACATATATATTTTAATCTGCTATAAATGAGAAGTATAAGTAATTGCCGGATAATGTAGGCATATTCACAATTACTCAAGAAATAGTTTTGTAAAACGCGCACTTATAGTTTTAAGGAAATCACACTTAAATAAGATTTAGGAATTAAGTGTGATTTTCTTAAAACTATATGCCGACTAAATATAAGCCGATGATGGTTTAAATTGATTGTTGATGTTTAGATGATTGACTGAATGTTTCCTAAGCATACTTAAACATTACACTTAGTTGTTTTGCACTTATAACACAACCTCTGCTTAGCTTGGGCTTAGATAGAGCACTGCGTACTCGTACATTGTTTAAGGTTTTTTTTAAATTGTTGTACCTAATTACGAATGATATAATAAAATCACAAAGATATATAATTTAATCTGCTACAAATGAGAAGTAGTAGCAACTGATTTACATAATTAAGCGACGGCGCAATCCTTGTAAAATGAAAGGAATAATATAAACAGAATGCTCGAAGTTTTGCGGTTTTGGGTTTCCACCTTTGTCGAGAAACGCTTTAAAACATTTTACGTACGTACAAACTTTTTAATTTAATAAACGTGTATGTTACGGCAAATGGGTCTATATTCGAGATTAACTGTTATCCTGTTGTTGGTCGCCAATAAAAATAAATATTTTCTAAAATATAAGTAGCCTAAGTTACAGACTCCTTACAGACATTAGGTATCTGCCAGTGAAAGTCCCGTCAAAATCGCTTCAGCCATTTCAGAAATTAACAAGTACAAACATACAGATAGACAAAGGTTTTTGTGAGGTCTGCGGACTATATAATTTCGCACACTTATATGCTTAGTTTTTTTACATAAAGGAGTTGCACTACCATGTATTCGACACACTCACGGATAGAAGAATAATCTTTGACAATCAAACTTATAATTTAAATCAATCAAATCAAAATATTTAAGCACGTAAGTTTATTACAGACTCTTATGATATATGTCAAATCTACCATCAGTTCCGAGTGCTTTCTAACTGAGATAAACTGACAAGAAACTCAGCCCTTATTCTTTTCAAATGAGCTGGTACATGTTTACTAAAACAATACAAATAGGAGTAGCAGCATAGCATATCGCAATTTTGTTAAAAGGAAATGGTGCAATCAGTATATGTAGTAACCAGTACCCATTCTCGAGTATGACGGATGAGGCAGCCATCATTGCACTCAACCATATTAGAGAGAGATATTAAGGGAGACATTGACCCGGCCTACCACGCTGCCACAAGTTTGAACTTTATAGCGAGCATGACTGTTTCAAGTTACTCTAAAGTAATAATGCTCGATTTACAATCACTGGGCGACTACTAGTTTAAATGAAAGTTTATTGTTGGCCCCAGTGGTCTTGCGGTTTAGTACATCGCTTTACTTCCATAATTCCTATATGGATATGATAATTAAATGGTGCACGCCTGCGCTTAACGGTTTATGTACGCTGGCGGGACACCAGTGGAGGATGATGATATGAGCATGAGGTCAGGTGAGTTAGCCCATCGTGATAAATTCCCCAGTAATTTATCACGATGGTTTCTAGGGGGAACCACGTGGAGGTCAACCTGACACGGTACATTGCTAGCAATGGGTTTATTAGTCCCCATTAGTAACAATCCCCTACCCCTCCGGTACAAACATTTGTATTCATAAGTATAATTATTTGTATCCGTAATATATAGATATATTTACAACAAAAAAAATAAGTGTTTATCAGTTGTCAAGTACCCATAAAAAGCTACTTGCCTTGGGACTAGATGACGTTGTGTGAATTATCTAGTGCTATATTTTTTCTTTTTAAAGTAAATCATACTTTTTAATTTGAATATTTCTACTTATATAAAGCAATGTAATGTAAATAGTGCTTTGTAGAGTGAAAAGAACAATGCAACAAATATTTGCAATATACATCAATGTTTCATTCATTCAACAATAAAGCAAGGCGTATTATGTGCACGTCGCTCGCCGGTATTGATCAAACACTGTAATCTGTCTCACTGAATCTAACCAGATTGAGGCTGGGTGAACCTAGATTACATTTATCTGGTTACGCTTTTATCACCACAACATATTAAGGGATAAGCAGAGAAGTTGTCAATTTTATTGCTATATATTTTTTTTAATTTATTTAATTCAGATTACTTATGGCCCATGTTATTATTAGAGAAACAAGCTAGTCTGTGTAAAGATATAAAATTAAAAAGTAAAAAACCGTTACTAAGTAACGAATACTTTTCTTTTTCTGTACATGATTTGTCGCGTACAAGCAGCAACAAAACGCAACACAAAGGGAGCGCTTTGATTGGAGCGCAGTCACAGCACTAGTAACGACAATCTGCCACGCTAGCGCCGATACACCACACCCTTCGGCCAGTAGACCTCATTCATGTAGGCGATGAACATGTTGGTACAGACCCGAGCCACAAATGCCTTGAAACTCAAGTTATGACTCGATTCCAGCTATATCAAAGACAATTGACACCCGCATGCGCTAACGGTATACGCTGGCGGGGCCAATACCATAATACCAATGCAGGATGATAATAAGAATATGAGGTACATTGCTAGCAATGGCGTTATTAATTTACTTTTAATTTCTTTTATTACAATAGGTTTACTAACATATTACATCATTTCATCGGTGGTCTAGCGTTTAAGCACACCCCTTCACTTCCGATGTGTCGATGAGGTTCGTTTCTTCGCACGGTGCAAACGTTTGTCTGATTATGATTGTTTCTATCGGTTTGGATGATTTCTATGTGTATTATGTATATATTTAACATAAATAATATCTAAGTGTTTATAGCAGCTGTCTAGTATCATAACACAAAGATCAGCTTACCGTGGGACTAGATGGCGCCAGTTTAGTAGTGTTAATTGTTCAGGGTTATTTATTTAATAAAACATAGCGGCAAGCAAGCCTACTATTTCCTACAGGATTAAACTTGTTCTCGGTGTTTCCAATTTGAAAATAACCTAATTTGAAATCAATAAACTGTCCATGTGTACTCAGACGATAGAATCTGTTGCGACCGAACGAATTTGAATTTACTAGTGGTCCCCCAGTAGTCGAAATTCTACAATAATTAATTGAAACATATATACATATATATATAATATATAGTTAGTAAATTTATTATAATTGATTTCTTATTATTATTTTTGACATTCTTATTATATTTCATTATGTTTGACATTCAGTAAGATTATAGACAAATTCTTTAATATTAAAGACAAAGAACATTAAGTTATTATAATTTGACCACGGACTTTTAACAAGAAACAAAAGAATATATATGCGTGTGTGTGAAGTACATGGTAAATAATGTATGTTTGTTGTAATTTAAAAATATTAAATATCTACTTGCCTTCTTTATATAACCTATAATTGTGCAAAACTACATACTTCTTCGACCGCGCAATTATCATAAAAAGGGTACATAGTTTTTACTTACATATTCATTATGATACAAACTAATAAAGATTTTTAATATGCGTTTGTACGTGCATATTTTTTTACAAGTGCGAAGCAAGGATGAGTCACTAGTCGTAATATATTGTGGGTTGGTTATTACGTCATAATCATGAGGGATTCCGGCGATGCTATTAATTAAAACTTAATTAGTAGATGGACTGTAATGACAGTAATTAATACTGAAATGTACAACGGGCTAAAATTTGCGTTTGAAAACTAATATAACATAACCTCTGCAATTTTTTTATATCATAGGGGACAAACGAGCTTGCTGCTCACGTGATGACAAGTTATTATAATGATGATGATGATGATGTGCGTTGTGGGCTTTTAAGATCCTTCTTAAGCTCTTCTTAAAGGTTTCAATATCGTATCGGTTCGAAAATACCATTGCTGAAAACTGATTCCATAATGGGGTTGTGCATTGCAAAAAGTTTCAAGTAAAACCGCAAAGTGGAGGACCGCCATTGTAGTAGTGTGCAGATAACCTAAGATAGGTTGTTTTGAATAAAAAATGATACGCGGCCAAGCCAGCAGAAGACTACAAGACCAAGTTAAACTTAAACGGAGGTGTACTTTGTAAAAAGACATCTCGTTGTTAGTACCTAACTATTTCAGCCGCCATATTGTTTAGTAAACTGTTGGTTGAAGGGTGGAAATAAGTGAGTGAAATTACAGAATATAATATCGTTATTCTGAGGAATGATAACACTAGCTATTTTATTACATTTATTATTTACATTTTATATATTATATACATTTTATTACAGAGGCATGATAACGTAAGCTTCATAGTGTTATTGATGTATATAGGCGACCGGTACCACTTACTCACCATCAGGTGAGCAGTCAACT